TCTTTTTTCTCATCGAATTACTCCGTTTGATATAAATAAATTAATAAGGATTACAGCCAGAAAAAAAAAAACCAATGAAATGCAAAAATAATGAAAATGATAAAGAGTTAAAATAATAACTACAGTTTCAAAGTATTTTCTTTTTAGAGATTTGTTTTCTTTCTCATTTCTTTTCTTTTACACGAACACTCTCTCTCTCTCTCTCTCTCTCTCTCTCTCTCTCTTTCTTCATGAAGCAAAGTACAATAATAGACATTAAAGTCTACGATGATAACGAGGAGTGCCAACGAAATGCGAACAGACAAATAAAAAATTGTCCACATGCTTGAGTCTCTCTCTCTCTCTCTCTCTCTCTCTCTTTGTTTTTCTCTTTTCTTCTCCCTATTTCTCTCCTTTTTTATCATTTTCCGCTCAATATAGTTGCACTTGCACAAGAACTCGAATTTCCACGTCGTATAGCCTAAAGGTCGCGCTCCTTCCCCGTAGAATTATTACCCACTTTTTCTCGTTTTATTATTGTCCTTCGCAACGTACAGCTTTTCATAAACGCTCGTGGTAGCTATTCGCGTAATTACTTTTTGGCGCTATGCCGTACGGTACGTATTAAAAGAAATTAAAGGAAAAGCATGCATTAAGCTAAAAGAAAAGTTAAGTGAACTCTGACTCTACGACAGCGCTCGCTTCTTTTCAAGCATTAAGCAAGTATTACCAAGTATTACCAACGAATATGTAGGAACATCTCATGCATACGCGTGCATCAGCTTTTTAATATTTTCTCTTTTAAATTTGCTCCAAGGATATATAGATAAAAAGGGTACGATCCTCTTTGTACATACATTATGTTTTATAATTAAAAGACATTAAAAGCGAACAGTACGTTATATCGAATTGAAAAGAAAAGAAAAGTAAAAAAAAAAAAGAAAATATTAAAGAAAATAAAAAAAATTTCAAGACTTCAGGGTAATCACAAATTTTTGCCATAGTGGACTTGAGCTTTTACCGGTAAGAAAGAAGGAAAGAAAGAAAGAAAGAAAGAAAGAAAGAAAAAGAAAAAGAAAAAAGAAAAAGAAGAAGAAGGAGTGGAACTTAAACTCTCTCCATGAATACGTAAGGTCCCTCGGTTTATTGTCATAAATGGTGGAAGAAAAACCACTCCGAGAGGCAAAGGGAAAACGAGGGAAAAGAAGAGAGAGAGAGAGAGAGAGAGAGAAAGAAAGATCCCAGATAAAAAGAGAAGAACAAAAAGAAAGAAGACTCTTTTCCATACCATGCAAGAACTCCCTGGTTTCAATCGTTGCATTCGTGCACACTTTCATTCCTATCTCTCGTTCAATGTGTCCTGTATGTGTCAAGGACTATCATATGTGTCGTCCATGACACTCATACGTATATAAATGTATAGTAATACGTACGATGGTCCATATCTGTCCACACGCAAACATATGCATAGCTATGCGTTTACATATCTGGTAAAGATAACTATGTGGGTATATACGTATACATGCATGTGTGCCTAAATGCATATGTGTATGTATTTATGTATGTGTGTGTGTGTGCGCGCGTGTGTATGTGTGTGTGTATGTCAGTTTGTACGGAAAGCAACACGAAGAAGATCGTTCTGGGCCGTCTGTTGTAAGGTTTGAGATGAATCCAAATCTAAGGGAAAATTTTATCGTATATTCAAGACGTGTTTCGAATCGTAAGTAGATCCGACGACGCAAAACGAACAATGGGATATAAGGAGTAGAGCTTCAAATGCGTATTTTGAATCGCTTGGGCAAGTATCGCTGATGAATTCCAATGATAAAAGTAAAGGATGTTCCGATGGAGCACTTACATATTTTTTTTTTTCCTTCTTTATTCCCATTTTAGATCGTTGAAAATGATTCACGTTGAATGTTAATTGTAATATTTTTTAAAACGATTTATCAAAATATTTCAACGTAATGATCTTTCTACGAACGTAAATCGAAAATTAAATTCAATTTCCCGTTGATATAAAAGTCATCGTAACGCATGATATTTTGATCTATATTCACAGAGCCATCGTTTTTTTTAAAGCTCTTTCCTTAAAAGTAAATAACCTAAAGAGTCTTTCGAGAGGATTAAACGAAGCATAAGCTCAACGGAATAATAACGAACTCGTATAAAAATAATCTCTACGTTAGTTTATTCTAATAAAGTGCTCTGCGTTAAATTCTCGTTTGATATATTTTATTTGTATCTAGATTTAATATTCTAGATATAATTAATGTGTGTCTCTAATATTTATATTTAAATATTTCATTTGACACTTTTCGTATCTACAGCCGAACTATAGTATTATATATATATATATATATATATATATATATATATATATATATATATCGTATATTTAAGAATCATGCTGATTCTCATTCCCCTTTTTTTATCTGGACTCGTATCATGGATACTTATTTTTCGTCCGATATCTTTTTTCCCATCTATACACTTTAAAAAAAAAGTGTATATTAGAATCCCGTTCTCGTTATACGATGACGATAATAATTATCGTAAAAATTCTATTACCTTCTCTTACCTCTCTTATTATAGTATCACTCGGTCGTTTTATCGAAATATCTTCGAACGAATTCAGGTCACCCTACGGAGCACGTAAATCCCAAGAAAGAGCGCTGGAGAGCGGCAATTACGATTATATTTATCGATTCGCATTAAATTTACAAGGTTGACGATTTATAAGCGAGTAAGAAAGATCACGTTTGAAAGAATAACTAACGTAGAAAATTGCTTAAAGAATATAAATATATGCAAGATTGAACGTACGTACGTACGTACGTAAGCGTAATAAAAAACTCGGTCACGCGCGAAGAAAGCTCCGTATATTTGAAATCCACTGAATAGAGAATTTACGAGAGAAAGAGAAGAAAAAAAAACGAGCGTGACGCATATACGTTTAAGTGTCAAAAAATATTGAATTTCATTATAACTTTTCATCCCCTATCAAACATTTCAATGTGAAAGTCTACCTACTACACGTATTCGTCCTTTCAAACGTATTATTCGTTAAAATTTATTCATACTTTGTACAAGAAGCTTTCGAACATTTAAAAAAAAAAAAAATTAATGAATTAAGCTCAATAAACACACTCGAAAAGTAAAAGTCGAACTTAATTCGCAAATGAAATTATTTATTTAAGTTATTAGATTTCAAAATTCTTCAAATTCTATTACATTTTGCATTTAATCAAACGATATCTATACTTAATTCACGTATGTAGATTACATATGTACTTACATATATATGTACTTTATATAAGTATCTCTCAAATAATGTAGAAATCATATTTGTCGCAAAGTACGTTCTTTAATTTGATCTTTTTCTATATATAATATAACGTACATATAAAAATACACAATATATACATATATCTACTTACGTGTAAAGTTCATTTGAGATTTGCGTTGACACCTCTTCTACCATACATTCTTCGCTTTGTTCGTTCATGAATCTACAACACTGACTTTTTATTCGGGATTCCATCTTTTCAAATTTTACATTTGCCAGAGTACCGTAGTAGTAACTTATGCGGCTAATATAAACTCAAAGGGAGATTACTCAGAACCGTGTAATGCTTTTGCCTGTATAACATTCACGAGCCACTCGAGAGTTAAAAACGTACCTCTGAATTTACTTTCATCAGAGAAAGAGAGAGAAAGAGAGAGAGAGAGAGAGAGAGAGAGAGAGAGAGAGAGGGAAGACGAAAAATAAATTACAAAAGAATAAGTACCAACCGAGGTTATACGTAAGAATATCATCAAAAAAAAAAAAAAAAAAAAAAAGAAAAAGAATAATTACAATAAAAATTAGAAATTTTATTTTTTTATGTATATGCTTGAATCAAAAAATTAATATTATTATAGGACTTGTACGAGAAAACTATTTCTCCATAAATAATTACGATGTCTATTATCTCGTTGATTATTTACCAAAACGTTAAATTTTTTATAAGATTTTAAAAACATTTACTTTTATTTGCTTTGTTAAAACGTTAATATGATATTATTCTTCTTAAATGGCACTTTCGAGTAATTAAAAATGTTCATATTAAAATAATTATCGTTTTGTTATTAATCAGATAATTTGTTTAAAATTTCGAAAAGCGCAACTTATGTTATCAATATAAAATCAAGACGACATATTATCAACTTTTATGTCCAAAATCAAACGCATGAAATATTAAAAATGCTTTTCCTGCAATATTAAGAATTCTGATTTATTGTCCGTCCATTAGAGATACATATTTAGTGTATAATATCAAAATTATATAGCATATATAGAAAATTAATAGGTATTATATTATCATATTGAGACAAATGATTCGTTAGCGTATTTCGTTGTAACGCCTTCGCTGTCTATTGTAATATGAGTAGAAAGAGATAGAGATAGAGATAGAGAGATAGAGAGATAGAGAGAGATAGAGTGAGAGAGTGAGAGAGATAGAAAGTGCTTACGCATATAGAAGCGATGAGGCGAACATGGTCATCGAGCTCTTTCATCATCGATTACGTCGAACAACATGACAGTCGAATACGATCGACCAAATCGTAACGCACACGATGCTTCGATGCCAAGATAAATACGGAAGATGGATTTAATAGAAGGCATTATATCTACATATGAAGCCGAGTAGGGCCTTATTCAAATCCTGACTTTATAATCGTTTCGCCGTGAGTACCTCCTAAATAATACGCTGACTCGGCAGGTGTTGCCGATGTGATAACGGATCGATCGGCAACTTTGCGTGAAATATTACATCGTCGGCCAACCATTTTAGAATAAATACTTTAAGCTCAATCAACCATGATTAATATCTAGAACCTTCTCTCATGTCTCCATTTGTAACATAACGTTTGTTTCTCTCTCTCTCTCTCTCTCTCTCTTTCTCTTGGTATTTTTTCAAATAATTACTGATACAATAATTTATACATACGAAAAAAATATGGAATTACTTACTTACGTATTAATATATTAAATCTCGTTTTCATGATAATATGAATAATAAATAAATAAATTATTCTCGTGGAAACTTTGATTTTTCCTTTTTACCATTTTACTTTTATTAAGACTTTAAAGATATCAAGATCTTTACGTAAATTGAAACAAAACGAGACTGATTTCCTTTAGTTTTACGTATAGTTGATACATTCTCGGCTTATACAAAGGATATTACTACGAACTCAAAGTATTACTTACGTCTCATAATATTTATGAAAGTAAGAGAGAAAGAGAAGAAGAACTAGAGGGGAGATAAGTACAAGGTAAACACGGCTTGTCTGACATCGGTTCATGTTTTTTCATATTACGGAGAAACAAAAGATATGAAGAAATATTATTCATTTTTAAATCTATTTTTTTAGAATGTCGCACGTTTCTTTTCGGCTTTATTTCTGTTTTTTCTTTTTTTTTTTTTCTTTTTTTCTTTTTTTGTTAATACGAATTATTAATACATAATATCATATTATTTTCTTCGTATGTATTTCGTTGCCGTTAAGGATTGATATCGACAAAATAGATTTCTTCTCTTTCTCGTGATCATGTAAAAATATACCGTTACCGTTGTAGCGACGGGACTTCTCCAATGACATTTGAGAAAAGTTTACGTAGTAGTAACAATTTTACGAAAACGATAACCGCTTGCACGCTAGCGACAACTGTTCGCGATATCGCGATAGCTGACAGTCTTTTTACCACTCCCTAACAAAATTCTCGTGAAAACAAGAGTAGAACGCACTTGACAGTACCTCCCTGCGCGGAGTTTCGTAAACACGTTGGTTGTTTTCCTCGCGTGGACTCGACAGCTTGAGACCGTGAAAGGCAGTGGCGTAACAACTCTCCAAAAGTTCGCATTATTTTTAGAAAATAAAGATTTTTCTCTCATCGAAGAGAGAGAGAGAGAGAGAGAGAGAGAGAGAGAGATGTAGGCACATTCCTTCTCCCTAGAACGAATTGTAAATATAAAACTAAGGAATGATTTGATATAACGCTAACTTGAAAAAAGAAAAAAAATATAATAAAGGTGAATCACATACGATAATATAATTGAAATATTAATAATATAAATCTTACGTACGATGATATATGTTAAATCGATCGAGCAATTTTATTCTAATCATCTTAGAAATAAATTCATGAAACTTCAATAATATTACAGTTACGTCTATGGATAATAGAAAAGAAAGAAGTGGTAGGAATTTCCTGCACGATATATACCATTCTAATAGAACAACGATCGAAACTATAAGATCTTCATGAAGTGTAGAATAGTGCCGAAAGAGTTAACGTACCGATGTAGTCATTTAGTTCTTCTTATCTATGATTGGATGCCATCATCCTTCATCGAAACAACACCACTTTATTATTACCAGCAGCCATCACTACCGTCCTATTCGTAGTGAGCTTTGTTCACTTCAGAAAACGAAACACGCTCGGACTCGGAGAAAGATCGAAATATTAACGTCCTAGACAGGCTCAAGGTTGGTAATCGAAACAACGCAGACATTTACGGCCTATCAAAACGTAACGTGTACAGATACTTGACCTTTTGATCTATCGAAATATATATATATATATATGTTCTTTCTGTGAGTAGAATTTTATAAGAGTGCCGAGATGATAACTCGTCTAGCCATAACGTGTTGTATAAATAGTAAATAGTATTTCCACCTTTCAAATGGAACTTTCAATGGCTTCTACGAACGTGAGGTCCATAAATAAAATTTGATTTATTTATTTATCGATGAGTAACAGCGAGATTTAACTCAAAGGGCATGATTAATGTAAGAAGATATATAGTACATATAATATATATCTCACTATCTATACCTTTTATATCCAACTCCGATACTCATAGAAAATGAAATAGTCGTTTTTCTAAAAAATTCATTTCATGTCGTCCGAAGCGAAAGCGAGCGAATCATTTAAATTCAATAACGAATCCGAGCAATTGCGATATAAAATACGCAATAGCATACGTACCAGTCCGATCGAGTACAGCTGCTGATATTACATGCGAAACGCGTACAGATCAATGCACGCATTATGCGTATGCAAATTATCATCTACCGCTATTAGATTAATTAAGCATAATTACTGTCATGTGTTGGCACGCGAGGCATTCTAATGGCCATGCGACAAAGCTTTTCCCTCTAGCTCTCTACTTTCCATCGAATTTTCGACGTTCGCATTCCGTTAAATAATCCCGTGTGGACTTTATCATTATGCGTTTCGTTCTCCGAAACGTCGTTATTATATCATTGTGAGTTAAAAATAAAAAGAGCCTTTATGCCGATTAAGGAACATCAGGTGTATAATAATCAGGCTTGTTTTGCTCTTCTAACTCGTTAAACACGTTGTTGAGGAAGACATTCGCGACGTGTGACATGCCACGTGCGTTGTTGCATGCAACGAAACAAGCTCGAACACGTATGCTTCTAAACTTCTCATACTAGGTGAGAATTCATGTCACACAATATCGTTCTACAGTCTATACACCGTATAACGAAGAGCGAGAGAATATCGGTATGGTATCTATCGGTGTGCTTTAAAAATAATCCTACAGACTCACAGATATGGAATCTGCTCGTAACTTTTGCCGATTGTATCACACAACCGATAGAAACCTTTATGGATGAGAATTTTTCAAAAAAAAAAAAGAAAAAGAAAAAAAAAGAATCAGAAAAAGAATAAAGTCTACATTTCTATGAGGAAATATATTTTGTTACGAGTACTACGATTGATCGTTTAATGGAAAAAAAAAAAGTAATTCGATGAAATTTAATAATTAGCAAAAGAAAATTATTGATTAATGAGTGAATGGTAATCAAATTATTCGAAACACTTTAAAAATTTTCAAACAGATTTGACGATCTACGAGGAAACACCGTTATCTATCTATCGGAAATTACTTTAAACATATAATTAAAAGAAAATATAATGTCGTAAAAAAAAACCATTTGATGTACTACATTTCTAAAAGTACACTTTATTTCTTTATATAATGAACATATCATATTTCAGAAAGTCATTATTTTTAAGATATTATATTTTCAATTTTTAATAAATAATTTAATCAATTTTATTAATTCATTAAACTTTCTTTCTAATATTATAAGTAATATTTCTCATTACAATTTTTCTTCTCCTCTTTTCCCATCGTAATATCATCCTATCATAGTTTTCTAAACTTATTCGATATCTCTATCGCATTATTCTTAGTATGTCCGAGGAGTAAAAAAAAAAAAAAACCCATAGTAAAATATTTTCCGCAAAAGCACGAAGAAAGATGACACCGCGTTTATCATGATAAGACGCTACCGTATGGAAAGATAAAAGAGTTTCGACACTCAATAATTGCAAAGTTGTCGGCGATATGAATTTTCAGAACGAAAGTGGCCCGATCACCATCGTTGGATCGGTCGTCACCTTCTCATAGTACTTCAAGATCTTTCTTTTTCTTATTATCCTCTTTTCTTATTCTCTTTTTCCCTCTCTCACCCTCTCAGCTTCTCTCTCTCTCTCTCTCTCTCTCTCTCTCTCTCTATCTCTCTCACTCAAGAGGCAACGAGGCGAATTATTGGCGCGGTACACCGTCTTCGATCGGAAGCAATTCCAATTTTCTGCCTGCCTGATCTGGCCCACTCTACTGCCAACATTTCCCACGATCGTCAATATCAACTATATATATATATATATATATATATATATATATATATATTCAAGCCGTTAACGATATATCATCCCTCACGTTGATAATTATTCAAAAGTTTGCACTATCTTCTTTCTCTCTCTCCCTCTTCCTCTTTTTCACTCTTTCTTATCTTATCTTCGTTCGAGCGAAATAGGACGACGTGGTCGATGTAGTCGATGATACTCCAGAGAGATAGAGAGAGAGAGAGAGAGGAGTTCCAGAGACGACGGAATATTTGCTTTCGGGAACGAAGACTCGAAAGGGTAGAGGAACGATAGAGAAAGAAGAGAGTAGTAGGAGGAACTATGGATGAGAGCCGTGGACAAGCGGATCGTTCGATCGGGATATCGGGACTGCTCGGTAATTTTTCACGGGGGATCTAACGACAGAGTCGATTTTTCAAGCCGACTGTAAAACCGAATTTCTAACGCCTAGCGGTACTTGCTCGTCCTATCATCCTTCCGTCCTTTCTATCTCTCTCTCCCTCTCTCCCTCTCCTTCTCTCTCTCTCTCTCTCTCTCTCTCTTTCTCTCTATCTTTTTCTCTTTTTATATCTATCTATCTATCTGTCTATCTCACACGCCCGTTCCATACCATCAGTAAGCATCACCCTTCTTCCGTCAAGCCTTTCCACGCTTAACCAAAGGAGGATCAAGACGCGCGACGTACCAACCGGCTCTTTAAACTTTTCGACATTTCTCGATGTTCTCCATCATTCTTTTTTCCATCCTTTTCCATTCCACTTTTTCAAACATCTTTGGATAAGTAAAAGCTACGCGACGACGAACCCATTGATTTACGCCGATTTGTTCGCAATTCTCTTCAAGTTTATGCATTAATTTCATGTTGATTTCTCGAATTTACGATGATCCGATCACTTCGATTCTATATTCTTATCTCTCCTTTTTTTTTTGTTTTTTTTTTTTGTATCTTAATGAACGAGAACGGTTGATGCTTGAGAAAAAGGGGGGGGGGCGGCGGGGAGAAAAAAAGAAACACATCTTTCGATGTTTCTTTTTAACGATCGTGATAATGACCATCTCTAACGATATAGAAAAAAGAAAAAAGAAGACAAGGAAACGATCTTCCTGATTATTCTTTTTCTTTTTTTTATTTGCTTAAATAATGGAGTAGAAGTATCGAGTATTTAAAATCGTGTGCATAATTAATTCGATCTGTTGTTTTTCGATAGTATGAATAAACACATTGAGAAAAAAAAAGAAAGAGAAAGAGAGAGAGAGAGAGAGAGAGAGAGAGAGAATGAGAAAAATAAAGAAGAAAGTACACGCGGAGTCTCGTTACGGATAACTAGTTCCAATAACGGGCTCGTTAATCAATCCGCACTTTCCGGCAAACGGACGGATGTGCGACTTCCGTTTCGTTCGGTTCTCCGTTTCTCTTTCTCTATCTCTCTCTCTCTCTCTCTCTTTTTTGTTTTTTGTTTTTTTTTAATTGCAGCTTTTTGTTTTACCCGTTCGTAGACAGACGCACGTGGATATGGAAAAAAGAGAAAAAGAAAAAAAAAAAACAAAAAAAAAGAAAAAGTTTGTGAATCTATAACATCGGAATGAAGAGAAATAGGCAAGAGAGAAATGGGATATAATAATAGTACATTTTTGAAAACGATAAATACTATTTTCATACTTTTTAAATATCTTCAAAAAAATTTATTATAAATGGTGTATTTATAATACGTTTTATAATATTTAATTAAGTTTAATAATACGTAAAAGACATCCTATTATATCCTCTCTCTTTGAGATTAATTTTTTGTATATTAAAATTCTTTTTATAAATATAAAATAAATATTTATTAAAATTATTTATGGCATTTTAAAATATTGATTTATACATATTGACGTTCATTAAATGAAAAATTGTAGAAATTAATATGAAAATTGATTGAAATATTAAATTAAAATTGAATCTTTAAAAATACCTTTCGACTGAAATCTTTACTTTAAGAAAATCAAAAGTTGTTCCCTCACGAAATTTATTCCACGTTTTCGATAAAATCTATATCTTCGATTTTCCTTATATAAAATTTCCTCAAAAAGTACTTTTGACTTTAATCGATTCTACTTCGTTGAATTCTTCGAATTCTACGTTGATCCTTTAAATTTCTTAAGTTTTATGAATGGAAGTTAATAATAGTCTTTCACATTGGACTGCTATTACAGTAGATCCGATATCAACGAGCAGAGACAAGAGAGTTATTTATCCGGTACTTGACTGAAATGCGAAGAAAATGAAAAGGTCCAAGAAAGAGACAAAACCGAGGCGACGACGCTATGAACCAACCTTCTCGGGTTCTATAAGGACAGCAATTAAAAGGAATTCCTTCGATCTTCAGTCTTGCGCGAATAACAGCGAAAGAAAAGCACGTTGTGCTCGGTCAAGAGCCTCAAAATGAACTCTTCTGCTTCATAAAACTATGAGCCAATGTAACCGAAAATAAATGATACTTTTGTATACATACATACATATATATATATACATAAATATACACATACATACACATATACATACATAGCTATGTACATATAAAAGACACAACGAAGATTTTATACTCAAATATACATAAATCTGTCTAACTGGATTTTCGAATATTTTCAGAAAAATTTATAAATGTTTATCCCAATCGAGGAAACTTGTCTTTAAAAAATTTAAAGCGAAACATATTCGAGAACAGGACGAGAAAGGATATTCGATTTATTCAATAAGATTCAACGATAATACCTAATATTATTTTTGGAAAGAGTTAAAGAATGCATAATCAAGATAACGACGTAGTAATAAAAATGATGTTCCTCTTAATCACGTTTTATTAAAAAAAAGAAAAAAAAAGAAAAAAAAAAAAAAAAAAAGGAGGAGTAAAAAGAGCACATATTTGTTATTCGAGGAAAGAAATTTATCTTAATGACTCTTTTGTCCTTCGTAAGAAAAAGAACTGTTCTAGTGGCCCCTCGACATCTTTCATATAAAATTCGTGCTGCAGGGCACTCGAGGAATTATCGCACTAAATTAAAGACTTCGATTATTCTCGTCGCGTCTTGGACGAGTAAAAAGGAGGAAAACGTGGATGGAAGAAGGACGTGGCTTGAAAATTTAAAGAAAGTAACGAACTACCTTCGTACAAGGGACACAAGCTTCTACGTATCGTACGAGAAGGCAAAGCGTACAAACGTATTACGTACATAGGTGTTTTGCTTTTCAATGAGTAATCCTCGATTAATTATTAACGATTATATTAAATCTTGGCATCTGTAAACATACGATATCACTCGATATTCGGATAAATAAAAATTTAAGGAAATTTGAAAATCATTGTATTAAGAATTATCTTTAAAGCTTATTAGCATGTTCGTTTATTATTATTATCGTTGGAACAGAGTCGAAGCTGATCGAAGAAATCATTTTTCATACGACTCGAATACTTATGATCGCTCTGCCCGCACATTACTTCCTACGTCATCGTCATTATTATTAACTATCGTACCTGGCCAGACTCGACACGCGTTGTTGGACCTTTCGGCAGAAATCACGCGAAGTGAGTATCAATCAAGTAAGAGCCTATCTGTTCCAACGTTCTGACGGTCTTTTGACTAATACGAATACATTTACGTTCTAACATAAAACACAATTCGCGATGCCAGGAAATTCAAATAAAAATCTATATAAATGAAAAGAACAAAAACAAGGATAAAGAACGATTCTAACAATTTTTTTTCTTTCTTTCTTTCTTTCTTTCTTTCTTTCTTATTTTTTTCTTTATTTTTCTTTTTTCTTTTTTTCTTTCTTTTTGATACACGTCACGTAAACGTTCGAATTGCACGCATTTTGTTTGACGTTTTTAACTTCTGAAGCTTTTTAACGAGTGTCGTCAAATTAAGAGAGAGAGAGAGAGAGAGAGAGAGAGAGAGAGAGATTGAGAGAGAGGAAGAAAAAAAAGG